GCTGTCACAGCAACAGGATTTGCTTCTGAAGAAATTTTGTGAGATTTGTCATAAATCAGGGATTTTATGGCAGCTCTGGGAATCTCAGATTAGAAAAATGTCAGCAAAACCCAAATTTATCTTCCAGCAAGTCCATGGGAGCGTGCTCATTCCAGGCTCCTTCTGGAACCTTCCCACAAGCCCAGCAAACAGGGAATACTCACCACGTAGAAATCCAGGCCGTAGATCCCAATACTGGGATCGTATTTAATGCCCAGATCAATGTGTTCCTGGATCCCAAAGCCAAAGTTCCCCGTGTCTGAGAAGTTGTTTTTCCTCAACTCGTATTCTCGCACCTGAAACGTTGGTTCTTGGTTGTTATTTTGTTCCTGACTGGAAGCACAATTAAAACTCCTGCCCACTGCTACCAGACCCCCAACTCACTCACAAGCTATTGAGTCTTTATCCCAAAAATTTTACTTCCAAATCCCAGCAGCAAAGACAAAAACCAAAAGAAATCAGCTGCTGCACCAATTAGTTCTTAAATAAGGCTGAAACAGCACCCAGATAAACAGTGTGAACACTTCATGCCGTGTATCTGACCTGTGCCTGAAACAGGTACAACACTTCAGAGCACACACCCCTTCAGTCAGAAAGGGAAAGTTCTGTGATTTCACAAAGCAAAGATCCAGCCCAAAATCCTCACCTTCAACCCCTTCTCCAGAATCTCCTCTGCTTTGGCCCCACGAACCGTGCAGTGAACAGCGATTTTCTCGTTTCTCCTGATCCCGAAGGACCTCACCGTGTACCGGGCTGTGGGCAGCAACAGTTACACTGAGGGGACAGCCAGAGAATTCCCACCCGCGGGATGCGGAGCTTCTCAACACCCAATAAATTCAAGGGAATCACAAAGAACCGACGCAGCCCCACACTTCGTGTTAAGGGATATTGGCAAAGCAGCAGCCTGAGGTTGGAGACAGAACTAAAACGCACAAACGTGCACGAATCCCTGAATATTGAAGCCCCCCAGTTCTCCAGCAGCTCTCCCGACACAAGGAGCCCTTTCCTGGGAAAGGACAAAAACACCCGAGGGAACAGCCAGGGCTCCTGGGCAGGCGCTCACCTTTGGAGAACACGGGGGTCTGCCCCGTGAGCTGCTCCAGCACCTTGGCGGCGCGGGTGAGCCGATCCCCGCTCTCCCCGACGCAGATGTTGAGGCAGAGTTTGCGGATCCGCAGCTCCCGCATCGGGTTCTCCTTCTCACCCTGGTCTTGCTGCGGAGAGACCACACCGGGGGTAACCGGGACTGCCCGGGCCGCGGCCCGCCGCCCGCCCCGGCAGCCCCAGGACGCTCCGCCGGGGGTCCGCAGAAAGGTTTCCACAGGCGGACACCGCGCCCCGCTCCCCGCCGGGCCCGAACTCCGGCACCGCGGCCCCTTCTGGAGCGCCGCCGCCACTGGGCGGGCCGCGGCCTGTCACGGCAGCCGCCCTAGCGGCTCCTCCGCGCCCATCCCGCCCCCGCGCCGCTCCCGTCGGCCTTCCCCGCTCCCGCCCGCACGGGCCGCGGCCGGGCGAGCCTCTCCGAGCGCGGATGGCGGCGGATGGAGACGGCCCGGCCCGGTCCCGGCCCGCGGCTCCGGCACTCACCGCCATGATGGAGGCGGGGAAGAGGCAGGCGGGGCGCGGCCGCGGGGAATTGTGGGAGCGCGCGGGGCGGCGGCGCCCCCTGGCGGGCGGAGGGCCGGGTTGCCATGGCAACTGCCGTTAATTAATGCTCATTATTGAAAACAAAGCCAAATACGGTAATTACGGTAAATATTGACAGTAATTACAATTAACCGAGAGAGGAAAAAACAACCCGAACATGCGATGGGCAATGCAGTTGTTCACCGCGCTCTGGTTGATGCCCAGAACTCTTCCTGAACCCCAATTTCTATGCTGGGAATGACTTTCCCTCTGTGGGATATTCCTTTGTGATCAGCTGTCCCAGCTACACTCCCTCTCGGGTTCTTTTGGGAACCCCCTCACTGGCACAGCATGAAACCAAAAAAATAGAAAAGAAGAAATAAGAGTTCTTGACTTAGGATAGACATGATTTAGCGAAAATCCAAACCAAAGTTCATTCTTCCTTGGAGCAAGGATCAGGGCAAGTCAGGCTCAGATCCCCAGAGCAGTTATAGTTTAATACCATTTAATTCATTGGCTGTTCTCACCCAAAATAAAATCCCCAGCAGCAGCTTTGGTGGGAGATGCTGTACCCAATATTGGAGCAGCTCTCAGTGAGTGTGGTTATCAGAGCCTCTCACACCCTCACAGCCCCAAATTCCGGTCTGCCGGGAACGCAGTCCAGTTTCACTTCAGTCTTTCAGGAAAGTGCTGGTGGGTTTCAAGAGCTCAGTCTGGGATCTGGATCCTCTTTTTGTACCATTTGGGAGGCCAGCAGCCCATTCCCTGCTGCACTCAGCTTCACTCACACCACTTTGGAGTCCAAAGTTCTCTTCAGTGGCCACATCCTGAGCAGAAAATGCCTTCAATGAGGCTCACACTCAGTGAGGATGGCAGCAGCTCAGGGCTTTCGTTGTTTATCCCCTTTCCCTGCCTCCCCAAGGCCGTGCTCAGGGCTGCCAGCCCAAGCTCTGTAATGCCATCAATTATTTTTTGCCTCAGTTGCTTTTAAGCGGGGATGAAGGATAAATGAATAATCAGCTTGTCTCATTAAGGAGAGAAAAAAAAGCGTCAGGAGTCTCGGTGCAGAGGGTGTGAAAAGCCTCTGGTTAAAAAGTAACATTGCTGCTTCATTATGGATTTCCTTCATCCAGGAACAGCTCTGCTGGAAATAGCTGCAGGCTGGGCTGGCTTCCAGCTCCCAGCAATCCATGGATCCAATGGATTCCAGCAATCCAGGACCAATTCCTGTGGGATGTGGCTGTGCTGCAGGGCTGCTCCCCACGGGCACAGGGGGCTGGGGGTGCTGTGCCCCCTCCCCTCTCCACAGCAGGGCTCTCCTTTGCCCAGCAGGGATGGTCTGGCTGTGGCCAAGAGCAAAGAAGCTGAGTGTCACGATAGGACAGGAAAGAACACAAGCACACACTGCTGCTCTCAAGGTGAAGAAAAGGGAAGTTTATTTCCTGACTCCAACATTTATGGTTTTCCAAAAGCGACAGTGGATTGGAGGGTGACAGTGCCAGCTCTCCAATGGACAAACCAACAGTCCTTCAGATTTCTCCTCCTCCATAAAAGAATGCAAAACAATCAGTTATTTACAGAAAGTGTGTGAGAAAGTTTGTTACAAAATGTCAACATCGGAAGGCTTAGAAAACCTTAAAAAATCAGGGCGACAGCTGAGGGCTGCAGAGAGGGAGGAGGAATTGTTCCAGCCACTCTGGGGATGCTGGGGGACAGCACAGAGCTCAGGGTGTCACCCTTCCCTTTGTCTCTGTGTGACCACCCGGTGGTGTGAGCTCATCCCATCCTCTGCTCCTGACTCCTGCCAGCAGCAAAGAGCTTTGCTGGACTCCAGACACGGAGAATCAGAGAATTATGGAGTACTTCAGGTTGGAAGGGACCTGAAAGCCCCTCCAGTGTCACCCCTGCCATGGCAGGGACACTTTCCACTGTCCCAGGCTGCTCCAAGCTCCATCCAGCCTGGCCTTGGGCACTGCCAGGGATCCAGGGGCTGCTCTGGGCACCTCTGCCAGGGCTTTGCACCCTCACAGGGAAGAATTGCCACATCCTCTCTTGCTGCAGAGACATTTCCTCCCTTGGCATTTCTCTGCTAGATTCAGGAAGCTTTCTGTGCCTGGCACAGAGCTTCCCACTCACCACCCCCTCGACCCTCTCCCCATCTCCAGATCCATCCAGATGGGTCCCACAGGGAGCTCTTCCTGCTCTGAGTCATCCCTGTCCCCAGAATAGTCCCGAGTTCTGCTTTGCCAGGTGCCACCACACATTTTCTCTGCGAGAGGGGGTGGGCTCCGTGTCTTGATTCTCTGCAAAGAAAGGAATTTTCTTCTTTCATTGCTGAGAGCAGGTTTGGGTTTATCCAGGGTTGTGCTGCTGGTTTCTGGCCCCAAGTTTTCACCTGGCTGATGAGAAATCCAGCTGCAGGGCAGCACTGCTCCTGCCACTGTGCCAAAGGAGTTTGTGAGTCCCAGCAGGACAGAAAGAGAGAGCAGAGATTTCCTGAGCGAGACAGGGAGAAAACTGTCACAGGGAGGGAGAGGAGTGGGTGCTTCCTGTCCCTTCCCTCACTGCAGGAACGCTGCCTGGGGCGCTGAGCAATGTACCTGCCGGAATGGGGGGGGATTTTAAGGCTTTATTTCACCCCTTAACTTCCAATGCCAGCAGTAGAAAGGGGAGAGCAGGAATTGCAGAGGGACTGCAGGAATTGCTCGTGGGACAGGAAAATGGAAGGACACAGAGCCAGAGAGGGCAGAGATGTGCGATATCCACGTGTTTGGTGTTGATGCCTGCCCCTGGCACGCTGATTATTGCCAAGGCCACTTGAGAAGGACCAAAACAACCGCGGGACCGCAGCCAAGGCACCAGGGAGGGGCTGGGAGCAGCATCCCCCGGGAGGAAACGGGAAGTGCTTTACAGCAGTGTGCTGGAAGGGCTGGCTGGCCGATGAAGGCTTCTCCTCCCTCGGTGCTGAGAAAAACTTCCCGGCGGCTGCAGAGCCGAGTGCCGCCGCTGCGAGAGGAAACCAGCCAGGGTGTGCCCAACCCATTCCCAACGCACGGCAGGGCACAGAGGATGCAGTGCCACGTGGGCAGCACGCAAGCAGCGGCCTCGTGGGTTTCCCGGCTGCGTGTCCCGGGGGCAGCGGGATGCGGCCGCAAATTTGGGCAAATTCAGGATTTCTGGGCGCGATCGGGACCGGCGGGACTCGAACTCTCGGCTCTGTGGAGCCTCGGGCCACGCCCCCACCGCCAGACCACGCCCCGCTTGCGATCCACGCCCCTGATTGGTCCCGCCCCCAGACCCCGCCCCTCCCCTTGCCGCCGGCGGGTCATGTGACGGGCCAAGATGGCGGCCCTCAGGGTGGCGGTGCCGGTGCTGGCGCTGCTCGGGCTGTGCCCGGGCCCCGCGGCCGCCGCCGCGCCCCTGGTGATCTGGCACGGCATGGGTGAGCCGGGACCTCCGCCAGGGCCGCGGGGGCGGCGGGGCTGGGCTGAGAACCGGGCAGGACCGAGGGGCGCTCGCTCCGGTGTCCCCTTCCTCCGGACCGCCGGTCTCGGCGGGGACCGGGAGGTGCTGCCCCTCCCGCTGCCGTGGCAGCGGGGCTGGCGGTGTGTCTGTGGAGGTGAGGTGAGGCCCGCGGCCGTGGCGTGGTGACGCATCTCGGTGTTCTCTCTGGCAGGAGACAGCTGCTGCAATCCGGTGAGCATGGGCTACATCAAAAAACTGGTGGAGAAAAAAATCCCGGGGATTTACGTCCTGTCGCTCAAGATCGGGAGCAGCCTGATCCAGGTGAGCCGCGTGTCACCCGCGGGGCTGCGGGCGGGGTGGGGCTGAGCCGCTGCAGCTCGTGCTTCTAACAGGATTCCACCGGGATTCCTGCCCTGCTTCCCCGCCAATTTTCTGTTCTCGCTGAGGTAAACAGCTTTGACAGGTAGAACCCGATAAAGTCCAGCTAATGCCTGCAGAAAAGCACTGGGGGAAAACAAATCCCTGACCTAAATTGGATTAATATGCAAATCCAGTGATTAGCACACTCAACCAGTGCAGGTAGTGCGTGGGGTGGAGGCTGTGCTGAGGCAGGGATTTATCCCTGTCATGCTTCTCCATCTGCAAACATTTATTTATTTCAGTGTAATCAATCACCCACTGCTGCACCTTCATGGGTTTTGACAGGTTTTTGTAGTGCTGTGGAATTTCTTTAAATAGTTTCTCAGGGTAATGTGGGGTGTAGGTGGTTTTCTGGGTTCTGGAGAAGTTTGATTTTTAATTTTTATATTGATATGAACAAAACCTGAAGCGATTCAAGTTGAGAAGAAGTTTGGGGAAATGTCAATTCCCCATGTGAGACAGTTCTGCCAGCCAGAGCAGGAAGGGGAAGGGAAGTGGAGGTAAAGAGAAGCCTCAGAACAGGAATTTCACTTCTGTCCCTGTCAAAGCTCAGGTCCCCTTGGTAAACCACAAATGTCAGTGATGTGTTTGCAGAGCTTAGAGCAGCCACAGCCAAGGTACAAATGCTGCACCCTGCTCTGATCCCCAGGACATGGAGAACAGCTTCTTCATGAATGTCAACGAGCAGGTGAGCGAGGTGTGCAGGCAGCTGGCCCAGGACCCCCAGCTCCAGCGAGGCTACAACGCCATGGGCTTCTCCCAGGGAGGCCAATTCCTGTAAGTCTGCACTCTGCTCCAGCTCAGGGGCTCTGGGGGGTTCAAATCCTCATTTGTGACCTTTCAGAAGTGCTCAACAGACACAAAATGTTAAATTCCTGAAGGCAGGAGTGCTCCAAGGGGGCAGGTTGTGTTTTCCTGCTCTTCCAAGCAGGGTTAAATCCCTTGGCAAGTGTTGCACCAGTGGCCAAGCCCACACAGAACCTGCACAGAATAACTGTCACAATCAGAGGACACAGGCTCAAGCTACACCAGGGGAAATACAGGTTGGATACCAGGAAAATTATTTTTACACAAATGGTGGTAAAGTTCTGGAATGTTCTGCCCGGGGAGGTGGTGGAGTCACCATCCCTGGGGGTGTTTAACAAAGCCTGGATGTGGCACTGGGTGCCAGGGTTTGGTTGAGGGGTTTGGGCTGGGTTGGACTCCATGATCTTTGAGGTCTTTTCCAACCCAGTGATTCTGTGATTTTGTGAATTCTCAGCTCCTGGGCAGGCTCAGCTCAGCTCTTTGCTCTTTCCCCACAGGAGGGCTGTGGCCCAGAGGTGCCCTGCTCCTGCCATGCTCAGCCTCATCTCCATTGGAGGACAGCACCAAGGTAGTGTCTGCCCCCTGGCACAGCTCCTGGGCACCTTTTGGGGCTCTTCCCTAAACTCTGATCACTTTCTCACCGATTAAATTGTCCCTTTGTTCCTGGCTGGATCTGGTGATGTGTTTGGCCCAATTAGTGTTTGCTGATTTCATTATCTTGATCTTGCTTAATTGGCAATGGAAAGCTCTGCTCTGCTCTGTCAGCAGCTGGCTTCTCTGGGTAGGGCCTGGGTAGGATTCTTACACATCTTGGGAGCTCTTGGGATGAGTTATTTTGTGGGAAATTGCTACAGAAATTGTGAAAATTCTCTAGTTGTGAAGCTGAACCTCCTGGGTCACGAGGGTATTTTACAATCACCATCCTGAAAGGCCAAAGCCCCAAGGAAAGGGAGCTGTGAAAAGGAACTAAAGGAGTGTGGAGTTAAGAGTGTCTGGCAATGAATTTTAGATACTCTGCCCTGAGAATCCCACAGCTCCTGGAGTTGTTTGTGTGTAGTGGAGAGGGAGGATCCCTCCATCCCCCCCATCCCTTATCTGTGCCACAGCTCTGGGGCAGGAGGGGCTGTCTGAGAGCTTGCAGGGCTAAAATCTGCCTGATTACCTGGGTAACTCTGCTCCTGCTGTGCAAGAGGAGGTTCTGGTGCAGCAGGAGGGATGCAGGGCCCCAGGTTGGTGACTGGGCTCTGTCCTGCCCAGGTGTTTATGGATTCCCTCGCTGCCCTGGGGAGAGCTCCCACCTCTGCGACTGGATCCGCAAAACCCTGGACCTGGGGGCCTACAGCAAGGCAGTGCAGGAGCAGTGAGTACATCCCCAGTACTGCCAATCTTCCCCTCTGGAGCTCCACAGGCTCCCAGTACATCCCCAGTACTGCCAATCTTCCCCTCTGGGGCTCCACAGGCTCCCAGTACATCCCCAGTACTGCCAATCTTCCCCTCTGGAGCTCTACAGGCTCCCAGTACATCCCTAGTACTGCCAATCTTCCCTCCCTGGAGCTCCACAGGCTCCCAGTACATCCCCAGAACTGCCAATCTTCCCCCTCTGGAGCTCCACAGGCTCCCAGTACATCCCCAGTACTGCCAATCTTCCCCTCTGGAGCTCTACAGGCTCCCAGTACATCCCTAGTACTGCCAATCTTCCCCCTCTGGAGCTCCACAGGCTCCCAGTACATCCCCAGTACTGCCAATCTTCCCCTCTGGAGCTCCACAGGCTCCCAGTACATCCCCAGTACTGCCAATCTTCCCCCTCTGGAGCTTCACAGGCTCCCAGTACATCCCCAGTATTGCCAATCTTCCCTCCCTGGAGCTCCACAGGCTCCCAGTACATCCCCAGTATTGCCAATCTTCCCCCTCTGGGGCTCCACAGGCTCCCAGTACATCCCCAGTACTGCCAATCTTCCCCTCTGGAGCTCCACAGGCTCCCAGTACATCCCCAGTACTGCCAATCTTCCCCCTCTGGGGCTCCACAGGCTCCCAGTACATCCCCAGTATTGCCAATCTTCCCCTCTGGAGCTCCACAGGCTCCCAGTACATCCCCAGTATTGCCAATCTTCCCCCTCTGGGGCTCCACAGGCTCCCAGTACATCCCCAGTATTGCCAATCTTCCCCCTCTGGAGCTCCACAGGCTCCCAGCTGCCAGTGGAGGTTCAGCACAGAAACAAAAGGCAGCAGCACGGGCCTGGGGGGAACTGGGGGAACTTTATTTGACTTTATTTAATGGTAGAACTCCCCGAGTCCAGGATCCCAGGCCCCAAACTGAGGACAACACTTTTTTGTCTAGGGGTATTATTAACTGTGTTGTGACTAGGTTGATAAATCATACTGGAGGGTTGAGAGTCAGGGTTAGTTGTGATGGTGTTCACAGGGGTCCCAGGATGAGGGAAGAGACAAGGATCTGACTCCATGTTTCAGAAGGCTGATTTATTCTTTTATGATATATATTATATTGAAACTATACTAAAAGAATAGAAGAAAGGATTTCATCAGAAGGCTGGCTAAGAATAGAATAGGAAAGAATGATAACAAAGGCTCTGTCTTGGACTCTGTCGGAGCCAGCTGGGCTGTGATTGGCCATTAATTAGGAACAACCACATGAGCCCAATCCCAGATGCACCTGTTGCATTCCACAGCAGCAGATAACCATTGGTTACATTGTGTTCCTGAGGCCTCTCAGCTTCTCAGGAGGCAAAATCCACAGGAAAGGATTTTCCATAAAAGATGTCTGTGACTGTAATTAATCAGTTGTCTAGGGAGGGTAGTAAGAGAGCTGGGAATGTTATTGAGATGAGAATTTGTGGGATTCCTAGGAAGGATGGGCTTGAAAATCAGTCAAAGAAGCTTAAGTTCATGGTCAGGTTCAGGGGGCAGTGCTTGGAGCAATGGGTGGTTTGCTGGAGGGGGGATTTATTGATACCAATGACAGAGGTTTGGGTCAGATAATTAAAGAGAAAATGAGTCATGAAGGGAGCATGATAAAAAATCAGGGGCTGGGGTTTAGTTGAGGCATACCTAGTTGAGGCATCCATAGTTTGAGGGCAAACAATAGTTTATAAACAGGGGGAGGTCTCAGGGGAGGATAAAATCTCTAGCTAGGGGTGGAACACAAGGCAGGGAATACAATGTGGAAACCAATGAAGGACTGCAAGGGAGGAGAACAGCTTAAGTAAACTAATGGGGTTTGGAAGGATACAACACTGAGGGAGAGTAAGAAAGGTTCTGGGGAAAGGGGCAGGAGGAGGGGGTTTGAAACTTGGCAGGGAGTAGGGAGGTAACAAACAAAGAAACTAAACTGAATAACTAAATAACTAAACTGAATAACCAGAGCAAGTCTGTGCCACTCTAAAGACAGGGGGAGGAAAATACAGAGGGATTACAAAAGTACAAATTAAACAGTGAACATGCCAAATAAAAACAAAAACACACTACAACACCCCAGGGCAGGCCAGGCTCAGGAGCAGCTCTGCCTTTCCAGACTGAGCTTTGCTTTGTCCCCTCTGCAGCTTGGTGCAAGCAGAGTATTGGCATGACCCACTGAAGGAGGAGGAATACAGGAAAAACAGCATTTTCCTGGCTGACATCAACCAGGAGAGGGTAAGGACACTCTGCCCTGTGAGCAGCAGCCTGGGAAGGCTCCAGCTGAGGAGTTCCCCTCTCTCTGGGCTCTCCAGTGGCTTGGATGTGCTCTCCTGCTTCCATCCAGGGCATCAACGAGACCTACAAGAAAAACCTGATGGCTCTGAAGAAGTTTGTGATGGTGAAATTCCTCAATGATACCATGGTGGACCCTCCAATCTCTGAGGTGAGGAAGGCAGGGCAGCTCTTGGGGCTTCCCTGGCTCTGGTTTGTCCTTTGGTGGCAGAGGGGCAGGCTGGGCACAAGCACAGGCCTGACACTGTCCTGGAAGCCTGCTTGGCTCCTGGGAACCCTTCAGCAGCTCTTCCTTCATTTTTTATCCATTTTAATGCAGTGGTTTGGGTTTTACAAAAGTGGCCAAGCCAAGGAGACCATCCCACTGCAGGAGACCTCACTGTACAAAGAGGTGAGTGAGTGCTGGGGGCTTCTGCTGTGTCCCCTTTCCTGTCCCTGGGGTCCCTCAGCCCTGCTCCTGGCACTCCTGGGGCCTTGCCTCCCCTGCCAGGAGCTGCTTGTTTGGGGGGACATTTCCCTGCAGCCATTCCTGGCACTGCTGGGACCCAGGGAATGACACTGGAGGTTCCTGCCTGGCCCAGGGTCCCCCTCAGTGCCTCATGAGCTCTGCTCCTGTTCCAAGCTTTGCTCCAGGAACCCCCTGGAATCCCTTTTCTCCCTCCACGAGGAGGAGAGCAGAGGTGCAATCTCCCCCTTCTCCCCACAGGATCGCCTGGGGCTGCAGGAGATGGACAAAGCAGGGAAGTTGGTGTTCCTGGGGGTGCAGGGGGATCACCTGCACTTCTCAGAAGAGTGGTTTGACAGCACCATCCTCCCCTTCCTGCAGTGAAGCTCCCTGGGCAGGGCTTTCACTGTAACCAACACCAGCCACTGTGCACAGCACTCAGTGCATCCAGGCCTGCAGGGACTTGGGGAGGGGAACACGAGGGGCTTTGGCTCAGGGGGCTTTGCCAGGGTGGAATTGCACTCCCAGCTGGGCTGAGCCTTGCCCTGACTCTGCCCCAGGCCTGGTGAATCCACCCCAGTGCTCAGAGCTGCTCTCCACCCCCAGTTCCTGCAGGGCACCCTGGCAGTATTAACCCAGCTCACTGGTGCAAGGCTCTCATGGCTGTAGGCAGGGCAATCATGTCACAGCCCCTGCTTCAGCAGGGGGGAAAAGGCCAAATTTAGGGGTTTCTGGGAAAAAAAAAAGGGTTTAGAATTCAGCAGTATTAACAGCTTGAACAGTTTTCAACTAATGGCTTGGTTTATGTTCTTTTGTACAACTGAAATCAATAAAGAAGTTGCCATCTAACCAACTAAATAAAAGCTTGGACAACTGCTGACTGTGTTTGGAGGGAGCTGAGGAAATTCTGGGAATATTCCAATGAATCAAGGCAGGGTCAGGCAGAGAGGGGGAACTTGTCCTGCCTGAGCTCACTTGTGCCCCCAAAAATGAGACAAGAGCCACAGTAATGAGCAAGTTGGCATTAACTTTATTCTATCTTCTGTATAATCTTAAGTACATAAGAAAGGTTTTTTCACAAGCCTCAGGAGAAGACAAGTACAAGTCACAGGACAGTTTCAAAATAAAAAAAAAATTGCATAATTCTTCCTTTTTTTTTGTTTTTTTAAGTTTTGTACTAGAGAAAAAGAACATTGACACTTTACAGAAGAAATGCATTTCAGATATGCTTATGCCACCCGAGGCGTTGGAAAAATGAAGGTCAAAGCACGTGCAGCTCCCTTTGTGGGTCAGTACAGTACTGTGTGATCCATCCCTCTGCTCCAGGGCCCTGGAACTGAGGCTACAAGCTTCCACCAAAATAAAGAGCCAAGCAAGAGGAGGGCATAACAGGGGGAGGACTCAGAGGGGGCTGATTGCAGATGAGGAAGAGAGTGATGAACCGACTTGATCCAACTCTGGTATTTACAGCTCTGCACTGCTGACCTGGAATGGAGGAGCTCCTTCCTCTGGGGAAGGGCACAGCTTGAGAAAAACCATCCTGGCAGACTGAACCTGAGCTCAGCTGCTGCAGGAAGGAAGCCCTGGGGCAAAGGTTGCCTTGTGAAGGTGGAGAGCTCATGGAATGAGAGGTGCTCAGCTCCAAGCTACCAGCCAGGCTGCTGGGTGGCCATGGTGGCACCAACTGCAGCCTTCCTGTGGCACTGGGGCATGAAAGCCTCCTGTCATGGCACAATCAGGAATGCACTGAGCTAGTGGGAATGATGGAAGAGAAATCAGGCTGGAATTGGCCCAGGTCCTCAGCCTTTGGTCCGACAAAACCGTTCCCATGTCCTGTGGTGCCAGCAGCTGCTCCAGAGAGCTGGAGGGAGCAGCCTGCAGGAGCTTCCCAGGACAGCTGGGTGCTGTGGCCTCTGACAGACACTGTCACTTGTTAAAAAAGGGGACAACATTCCTCTCACATGGAACAGTTTTGCTTAAAGGCAATACAAAAACAATACTCTGGAAGCCAACTGCCAGGACTGGCTGTGAAGTTCACCGAGACTCTGATCGATTGGTGCAGTTAGATGGGACAAGGGCAGAGAAAAAGAACCTTCCTGCTGAGAGAGGTGACAACCACCACCTACCCCAAGCCCCAGGCAGAGGAACCTCAGTGATGGCAGGCAGCTGTGTCTCTCGGGTAGAAGAGAAGCAGTTTGAGAGCAGAAAGGTACAAGAAATCTAAGAGAATCATCTGAAAGCAGATTTGTCCCACAGCAGGGCCAGGGGAGGGTGTGAGCCTTGGAGCTTTTCGGCTTAGCCAGCAATTTCTGTCACAGTGGTAACCAACTTCTGACCGTTCCACACTGTCTTGAACTGTTCTGGGACAGGGAATTCAGTCTGGAGGGTAAAAACAAAGAACTGTTGTCAAAAATCGGTTTATGGCTGACATTAGTAACCACTCCTCCCACTGCTTCAGGCATTTCTTTTCTCAGCTTTGTGCTGTTACCTCTGTACCACCACTGGTGCCTGTTCTGCCCCTAGGAGATCCTGAGGAAGAAGCAGCTCTCACAAACCAACAACAATCTTATTTACAGATGTTTTTTGCTATTTTTACAACTCAGATCATCATTCACAACCTCCAAACTCCACAAACTTCCCCCCACTGTAACCAACACTCCCTGCAGGGCTTTGTCAAGACACAACTCCTGCATCCCCCAGCCCAGCAGGGCTGCAGGAGGATTCCAAAGCAGCATTTACAAAGTTTTCCACTTTCCCCAGGACTGCACTTACAAAGTCCCCCCCCTCGGTGGGGATGAGCACGTTCATCTCCGAGGACTTGGCACTGACGATCTCGCAGTCGAGGGAGCTCTTGCTCAGGTACACGTGGCACCCATCTGTCTTGTTGATGGAAATCGTTGGCACTTTACCCATGACCTGGCAGGGCCAGAGAAGAATTAGCCTAAACTAGACAGCCACAGCATTTTTGGGGTGTTTTCTTTCAAGGCGAGAGGTTTGAGTCCAAGCCCTCCCCGTGACGATCGCACAGGATTCAAATATTCCCACCTTTAGCAAAAATCCAAAGTTTTTGTTTGTAATTTTCCCCAATTTCTTGTTCTGATCTCTTTAGAACAAAACCTGAGCCAGCACTGGGCAAACTGACCATCTCAAATCAGATGCCCAAGCTGAACTGGAATAAAACCTGCTGCTGGCCTCCTGCTTTGGCAGCCAAATGTGCTCCCTACCTCACAGAGCCTCAGCTCTTACCCAACCCTGAAACAGCTCAAAGACACAAATTTCAGCCCTTTCCCAAGGGACAGATGGTGTTCCATGGGTATTCTCCACAGCTGCACACTCCTGGTCAGGAAATGCAACTGCTCCAGAGCCAGGAGAGAGCACAGGGCACTCACCTGAACTTTAACATCCCTGCTGTTGATGATCTCCACAATGCCCACCACGTCATCAAACACCAGACCCAGCTTCTTGCAGTTGTCTGCAAAGAAAAGCAGATCAGGGCACAGAGGTTTTGGAGGCTCCAGCTCCTGCACACACAGCAGCAGGCAGGAGCAGCTCTCAGGGCTCTCCCCACTCACCCAGGGTGATGGAGTTGATCTTGCCTTTGATTTGGAGTGTACTGTTTGTGCACTTGAAAACATATGCTACCTGCTTCAGTTCTGTGTCACTGATGACCAGGTTGGTGGCATTCTCCTGGTTTTCCTGAAAAGGCAGGGGAAACACACTTCATTTTCTGAATGCAGAGCAATTAAACAATGAAAATCCCTTTAAAAACAAACAGGTGCCTTCAGGCTGGTGTCTCTTAGGAGAAAGTTCTCCACAAGAGCCCCCTTTGCTTCTCCAAAGCTCCCATCCCTCCAACCCACTCCTGCCAGCAACAGGCACTCACCACTCTCCACTTTTTGCCTTCTAATTCTAGCAAAGGAGGTGCCTTGGGGGAGGGATTTGCATTACAGGCTGGTTTGGGAGCAGTGAAAGGTTTGGGGCCGCTTCTCACAGGGCCCCCCTGGTTCTTCAGGGCTGGATTCTTGTGGGTTTTCATGTCATCTGAGACGTGCCTTAAGCCTGCAAGAGAAGGCAAAGCTGAGAGCCAGCTCCCCTCCAGGAATGCAGCTCCCCAAACACCAGGCATCAGAGCTTACACCAGCCAAGAAAACTCTTGTTGAAACACAAATAAACTCCTGAGGCTGGGGCTAAGTTGAGCCCAAGTGTGACAGGAAGGGAAGGAGGAAGCAGGAAATGCTGCTGCAATATTGACAAGAACACAACATGAACCACAGAACCAGAGTGTGCCACAGCTCTTCCACTCTGCAGCTGGAAAAGGCCCCAAGCCCAGCACCTCCTGAACTGATGTGCTCACCAGGGAACACAAAAAAGGGGAAAATTCTGTGCAAACAACAGCTGCCAAATTGCACTTTTTGTACCAGAAAGATGCAGGCAACCAAAGGGATCAGCCTCAGGTGTTTCCAGCTGGAAGTTCATGCCTTGCTCCACCTGCCAGATGAGGGTGACAATCCTCATCTCAGTAACATTCCCAGCTCTCTTACTACCCTCCCTAGACAATTGAATCACTGACCCACTCTCAACCCTCCAGCTATGGCTTATCAACCTAGTCACAAAACAACTCATAATACCCCTAGACAAAAAGGACACAAATGAGACCTAATTCTAACATCCCTCATAATCTTCCTCCTCCTCATTAACCTCCTAGGGCTGCTACCCTCCACATTTACCCCACATTTACTCTACACATTTGTCCCTGGGAAAGCTCCAGCCCCAGCCTGGGACCAGGTATGTTTTTGTGCACTTTTTAAGCAGTTGCATTGAGGGGCAGCAGGAAAACAAGGAGCAGCAGCAGCAGGAGCAGCAGCAGAGCAGTCCCTCCCTCCCTGAGCCCCCACATACCCGAGGTGATCCCTTCTCCCCGGTTGATCTGCGCGAAGAGCGCCGAGCGCGAGGCCGAGTCGTCTGTGCTGGAGCTCGCAGGGGCAGGAGGAGGGGGAGGCCCTGGAGGTGGGGGTGCAAGCCCAGCCGGGGGGGCAGGTGCTGCTTTAGCCCCTGCTGTGGCCACAGGACCCTGGAAGAGCAGGGAAGAGGAAAGGAGCTGGCACCAGCTCTGCTGCTGCCCCACGGAGCCCTCCCTGCTGCAGCAGCACTCACTGTTTTGCTCCAGGTCAGCCCTGTGGTGTGGAACTCTTTGATGTAGGCCTGCAGCTCTGTCCAGATGCTCAGGTAAGCTTTCACCCAGTCCACTTGTTTTTTATCTCTGAGAACACAAAGAGGAGGAATTAAAGGCTGAGGAAAGCAGCTGGGGGCAGATGCTGGAGCAGCCCTGTCACAGACACCTTTTCTGAAAAATCCTTTCCTTAGGATTTTTCCTCCTGAGAAGCTGAGAGGCCTCAGGAACAAAATGTAACCAATGGTTATCTGCTGCTGTGGAATGCAACAGGTGCATCTGGGATTGGTCTCATGTGGTTGCTCCTAATTAATGGCCAATCACAGCCCAGCTGGCTCAGACTCTGTCTGAGACACAAGCTTTTGTTATCATTCCATTCTTTTTCTATTCTTAGCCAGCCTTCTGATGAAATCCTTTCTTCTATTCTTTTAGTACAGCTTTAATATAATATATATGATAAAATAATAAATCAGCCTTCTGAAACATGGAGTCAGATCCTCCTCTCTTCCCTCATCCTCAGACCCCTGTGAACACTCACACAGCCCCAGCTGAAAAGGTGAACTTACACATCCTTGTACTCCTTGAGGATCCTGTTGGTGTAAAACATGGCAGCATCAGTCATCTCCTTCACGTAAGGACCGGGCTTTGGAGCCTAGAGCAGAGAGAACACGTTGGCCCTGAGCAGCCCACCAGAACCTCCCCAGCAGCCTGAGGAAAAGCCCTTCCCAAGGAGTCCTCACCATGGCCACCCAGCCCAGGGCTGGGATGCTCTCACTGACTGCTGACAAGTGGTTGAAGAGTTTGCTGCCACGGTTCTTCTCCCTGAAGTTCTGCACAGCCTGGATCTGCTCCGAGATGGGCTTGAGGAGCTCTGAGAATGCGTTCTGCAAACCACACACAGGGACAGCGACAATTAACGAGATTAATTAGCACGGCTCTGGAATGGCTGCACAGCTGAGCTGATGGAGACTCA